CGGCTACTGTTTCATTTTAGAGGCTATTCCACCGCCTGTTCTTGCTTTAGGGAAAGCCACGCGGTTGATTAGTTTCTCAAAAAATAAGCTAAGTCATAAAACATATCTGCTTAACCATATTTCATGAGGCCTTTAGCCGGATGCATTCAACTTATTAAACCGTCTGCTCTACATGGCCGTTTGTCGCTTTTTTGGGAAAATCACCATAGTTATTAATTGACTTAGAAACCATGCATAATCCTTAAAGTATCAATAATTTCTAAGTCAATAAATCCATGTTTTTTAAACCAACCGACATCCGGCAAGGGGCAAGGACATTCGCATAGTATACAAGTAAAATATAACAACAATATAAATAAAGTCGGCCAAACGACTAGATGCTTCATAAATAAAAGCAATCGTCAAATTCATGACTGGTAATGTTAGCTGGATAAACCAGGAATTGTCAAATTACCCGACCCCAACCCCTTGGTCGGTAAAAGATACACAGAATACTCAGCACGCAGGCCGAAAAAGAAAAATACTTGGCCATCCGGCCGCAGAAGTGATACCTAAAAGCTTATCAGGGGAGGTTCTTAGTGTTGGCAGCCACCTTGTCCTCTGGCGACTACTCTTTATTTTCTTTTCCTCCTCTTGATCTTCCTCCCCCCTTGAGCATGAATCATATGAGAAATCGGACCCCTCATTTCCGACATTGGCAGTCGCCTCCTCTACATCCCGCATGAGTCGGGCATTCAACTCATTGTTCGCCGCATCAAACTTGGCTGCAAATCTGATAATCGACAGACGGCTGCAATGCTGCCCAGGCCGCACGCATGATGGCTTCATTGTCATCCATTATTTGTTTAACCAAGGCCGCTTTCTCCTCCTCAGCCAATGACCTATACTTGGCCTTGAGCTGAGTTTCCTTGTTTTGTAGCCGACCCTTGAGTTTGTTAACCTGACCCTTTAGGTGGCTAGCTTTGTCCTACGATTCCTTGAGGGGATCCAGCTTCTCCTTGAGGCTCTTAATCTCATTTTAGAGCTTTGTGATACGCCTTTTTGCCGTATCTAAATTATGATAGACCTGCAGGTTGGCCGACGCCTGGGAATACAACATATCAAGAGTTAGAATCACTTTTTAAGTTATCTCAAACTGAGCTTTGTCTAAGGAGGAGGTGGCCCGGGCATTCTCTGCCTTTACCTCTTTGGAGTTGTCGTTGAGTGGGTTTTAAGATCACTCACTCGCGACATAGCCTACACTCAGTCGAAACAAAAGGAGAAATTAGTAAACATCCAGCCAAATCATTACTCAAGTCAAAAGACACAAGTCTGGCCTCGCAAAGAAGCTCTAGTATGGCGACTAGATCGAGGATCTTGACACCTTTGAAAGACGCCTAGTCATCAGGATCAAGCGTCCTGAGCATTTTATTGGCAATCTGTAGAACAATCGGCCTGACCGAAACCTCTGCAAAAAGAAGCAAATAAGCTAAGTTAGATTCCGAAGAGCCAGATCCATTCATGGTCAATGCTATATGATCAAATAAGTGGAGTATGCCGAATGTATTACCTTCCTCCTCACATGTGGCAGCATCACTTTCGCCTGCTGCTGAGCCGAGAGCAGTAGTGAGTGGCTTGCCACTCTTCGACACTCTTTGATTAGTATACGGCTTCGTGGGGGACTTGACAGGGGTGAAGGCGCCGGTCCCATTCATTGGCAGGGAGGCGACGTGCTTTCGGTTTTTGCCGACATCGCCACCAGACTACTTTCGCAGCTTAAGGTCCGGTTGTTGAGAGGGAAAAGGCTTGGTCGAGCCACTCTGCAAAAAATTTCACATGTTAGTTGTTACTTCAGCAAATTTTGACAAGTAAAAATGAATGAAATATTTCTCACCTGTGGAGTTCTGCTTAGCAGCTGCTCCTCGTTCGTCCGTTTGCCCAAGACGTTCGAACGGTAGAAGGCTGCCGAGTGTGCAACCGACTTTCGATGAGAAGGAAACTTTGTCATTGCTATGTGTGCACAATATAGCAAAAGATTTAAAGACTCATAAATAATAATAATCATTAGTAGTTAAGTAATGTAAACGCATGCAACCTACTACTTCTCGGCTTCTAAGAGCTAAGGCCACAAGCTGCAAATTATGTCCCGTCCGAGAGCCACTCGAAGCAGGGAATGTAACTCTGGGGGGTTACCTCTTTTACGTCAGTCTCCTCGTTGATTCGGAAGGCCACCAAGAATAGGCCTCGATCTAATATCTCCTCCTGCACTAGCCTTGGGAAAGGCGGTAGGGCTTTCTTTTCAGCAAGGAGGGGCGGCTCCTTGTTCCATCAGTTGTACCGCTTGTGTCTTTGGAAGTCTGGGTAAGAGACGATATAAAACTTAGACCTCTAGTCTTTCCACTTTTCTCCTTCCCCAGCGTCATCACAGCGTCATCTCGTTGATTCGGTTGGCCCAGCTTGCATGTGGTGTCTTGCTCAACCAATGAATCTGAGCGAATGCCTCGAAGCTGGGATCCACCTCTAACATCTCACAGGCGGTAATGTAGCCAAATATGTTATCCCAAAAATTAGGGGCTAGTTTCCAGATACCCAGCCGGTGTCCGTCCAAAATTCTCTCCACAATTGGATGGAGAGGGAAGCTCAGACATGCTTTAATGGTTGCCTCGTAGCAACCAAAACACATGTCTCCATAGCTGGCTTTCTATGCCAGGTGACCGTGTCCTCACTGTAGGGAATATTTCAATTGTTATCCCAAACTTGAGCCCCACTGTGATCATACACTTAAGCATGGTGGCGTTGATAAGCCTTCTTATCATGGGTTGAGAGAAGCATTTTAGGGTGTGTTTTGATGCTTTATATGTACTTTTGTTAGCTTTTGTGAGTTTTGGGCTGTGATCTCACTTATGTGCAAAAGGCGGGATTTATGAGTATAAGTGAGTGAGTGAGCTCGGGAACCAATGAAGAGTTATGTAAGAAGGATGGACCTTGGCTCGTGATTTGAGAGTTCTGATGGAGCATGGAAGAGCAAGGAAGAAAGCTTGAGGAAAAGGTGAAGCAAAGCAAGAAGAAGAAGCAAGGAAAGCAGGCAAAAACAGCAGGAACCGCTGCCAGGGCCGCTGGCAGCTGGCCAGAGCCGCTGGCAGCTGGCCAGAGCCGCTGGCAGCTGGCCAGAGCCGCTGGCAGCGAGTATACCAGAGTGAGGGGCTGCCAGAGCAGCTGCCAGCGGGTCCAGAGCAGCTGGCAGCGACTTTGGCAGAAATTTGGGCTGTTTTGGTTAATTTTCAGCAATTTGGCTTTGTTTTGGCTCGTGTTTTGGATATTATTTTATTATTATTATTATTGTGTTATGTTATTAAAATATAGAAACATATAAATAGCTTAGTTTTAATTAAGTTTTAAGTTAGAAAAGGAGAATTAAGTTTTGAGAAAAAAAAGCTTTCTAGGATTTTCTTGGAATTTTCAGAATTCTTTGTTTTGGAATTAGAATCCATGGAAGCTTAATCTTCCGGGTTCTTGGTTAAAGATTGCAGCTTTTAGCTACGAATTGTGAGATCTTTCTTCTCTTAATATCTATTGAATATATATTGTTCCTTGAATTAATTTCATGATTTACTTTAATCAATTGCTAGGTTAGAATTATTGGATTCGCTTGCATCTAATTAATCTTTCCAAAGTAGCAACTTTAGGTTATTGATGCATGCTTTTGGTTGATAACTTGAAGAGGGAATAATATTATTGAAGAAATTAGACCGCTTGTGTTAATTTATTCAATCCTTGTTGATTTCTCCGTTTATTTTCTTCTTGTGGATAATTTAGAGCGCTTGTCTTGAATTGTGCATTGGAAAGGGTTAGAAAGGAGCGCTTTGCTATTTCTAACTATTTATGAGAATTTAGAATCTAGGAATTCTACAACAAGGTGTTCAATAGAGCTTGATTGAGGAGACTTCTATGATCAATTTGTATATTCATTAGTGGATTTCGCATAACCAATACCGTTCTTCTCATTGATTACCTATTCATTACGTTCGTTGTTCTTACTTAGTTCATTTATCATCATTGCTCGTGAAAACCCCCCTCGTTACTTAGGTTACTACCGTCCTAGAGTATTTCCACTTAGGTTTCCAGTTATTAGTCCCTTTTTCCCTGTGGATTCGAACTCGACTTCCCTAACTACGTTTATTTGCAGTTAGCTTAGTTGTGATATTTTTGGTTGCATACGACTGAGGCACACCAAATTTTGGCGCCGTTGCCGGGGATTTAAGGCGTTACTTTTTAATTGTTTATCTTAGTAGAATTTATTTTAGGACTGTTCTTAGCTATCTTTCTTTGTTTGTTCGCTAGGGTATGATAAGTACCTGTTCTGCTAACAAAGAAGTTTTGCAGTTTGATCCAGAAATTGAAAGGAATATTTCCAGGTTGCGAAAAGAGGCAAGAACAACCCCCAGTGAATCAACATACTCCTTCAATATTCAAGAAGAAGAGGAGATGCTGACAATCGAACTCTAAGGGAACTCACAGCTCCCAACTTGAACCAACAACCGTTGTGCATTGCATACCAGCAGTTGGAGGAAGGTACAAATGTTGAGATCGAATCCGGTCTAATTCATCTATTGTCGGCATTCCATGGCATGAAAGGCGAATATCCGAATAAACATCTGGCAGAATTTCATGTGGTTTGCACTAGCATGAAACCGATTGGGATGACTGATGAACAAATTCAGTTGAGAGCATTTCCTTTTTCTCTCAAAGATGCAGCAAAGGATTGGTTTTACTATCTTCCCCCAGGTAGCATAACAACTTGGGCAGATTTAAAGAAGTGTTTCCATGAGAAGTACTACCCAGCCACTATTTCTGCAAGCCTTAAGAAAGCTATCAGCAATGTGGATCAGAAGGAAGATGAATCCTTGTATGAGTATTGGGAGAGATTTAAGAGATTGTGTGCTAGTTGTCCTTACCATGGGTATTCCGATCAAGACCTCATCCTATACTTCTATGGAGGTCTAACTGATGATGACTTGAGGATGGTGAATGCAGCAAGTGGTGGAGGGCTAGTGAATAAGACTCCAGGAGATGCAACTAGGTTGATTGCAGAGCTAGCAGAAAATTCTAGGCAATTCAGTCAGAGAACTCCCACGCGCCGGGTGAATTTAGCAAATTCGAATACAACTGAGTTAGAGAGTCAAGTAGCTGATTTGACTTCTATGATGCGTGAGTTCATGGTGAACTCAAGGAATCCACAGCAACTGAATGCTTGTGGTTTATGCACCTCCATGGGACATCCCACTGATGCATGTCCTCAATTACAAGAGGAGCAGAATGAGCAGGCCAACGCCTTAGGTTTTCAAGGGCAAGGTCCGCAGAGAAGATATGATCCCTTTTCAAATACCTACAACCCAGGATGGAGAGATCATCCAAATTTGAGATATGGGAATTCCCAAGGAAACCAACAACATCAGCATGCTCAAGGTCAACAACAGTTTCAGCAATATAGGGCACCGTTCCTAACACCTCAAGGCCAAAGCTCTAATTCAGGTAATATGTCAACTAAAGAAATGATTAGATCACTAACTTCTAATGTTTCTACCATGCAGCAGAATATGATGCAGTTTCAACAAGAAACTAGATCAAGTATTCAAAACCTGGAGAATCAAGTCAGTCAAATCTCAAGTGCAGTAAGCCGACTTGAAGCTAAGGACTCTGGAAAGCTTCCATCCCAAACAGAGCTGAACCCTAAGCAACAAGTTAATGCAATAACATTGAGAAGTGGCAAAAAGTTGCAAGAAACTGTAGTTGCACCTAAGAAGGCTAAAGACTTGATTGGAGTTGAGGAAGAGGAAGTAGAACAAGAAACTAAGGCGAATCCGCCAACCTTTACCTCTTATGAGCCTGTGCCACCTTTCCCAGAAGCCTTGCAAGATACTCGAAGGTGTGAGAAAGACAAGGATATTTATGAGACTTTCAGCAAATGTGATGTAAATATGCCCCTCTTGAATGTGATTAAAAGTGTTCCTCGTTTTGCTAAGTTTATGAAGGAACTGTGTACGATCAAGAGAAAGCACAGGTTGGGAGGAAAAGAAAAAGTGAAGGTGAGTGCTCATGTTTCTGCAGTTTTCCAAAAGAAACTCCCAGAAAAATGTGGTGATCCTGGTATGTTTACTATTCCTGTTACAATAGGAGACACCACATTACACCGAGCCATGTTGGACCTAGGTGCATCAATCAATGTCATTCCCTACTCCCTGTTTAAATCTTTAGAACTTGGGCCTTTGCATGAAACTGGGGTAGTAATTCAGTTAGCTGATAGGTCCAATGTATATCCTAAGGGGGTAGTAGAAGATGTACTTGTTAAGGTTGATGGATTGATCTTTCCTGCTGACTTTTACGTCCTTGACATGGAACATGACAAACAAGCAGCCCCCATCCTGTTAGGAAGACCTTTCTTAAAGACTGCTAAGACAAAAATCGATGTGTCTACCGGTTCTTTGACTATGGAGGTTGATGGGAAAGCAATTGTGTATAACATTTATGATACCATAAAGTATCCTGTTGATACTCATTCTTTATATTCTATAAATGTTGTCGATCCAATATTGCATGATGTTTCTAACATTGATCATGGGGATGAGCTCCTCACACCTATTACTAATGTTGTGTCTGGTGATTGCTTGGAATCTTCTATACCTACTAATGTGCAGGTGAAGGTGGCGGAATTGAATGAACAGTCCAAGCTTCCACCTATACCACTAGGGGCAACACCCACCCCGTCATCATTTCCGGGCAAGAAATTATCCCAGGTATACCACAAAGCAAAGAATAAGGTGTGGCATGACAAGATGAGCTCCCGTTGGAAGGGTCCAATTCAAGTTGACAAGGTCTATCCGCATGGAGCGGTAGAAATTCGGAGTTTAGAGACCAACAACATGTTCAAAGTGAATGGAAAAAGGCTCAAACCATACTACGAAGGGTTCAAGGTCGAGAATTTGGAGAACATCAATCTCTACGAGCCATCAATTGATTAACGAAGTTTCATGAGTTGTGTCGAGCCAACGACGTAAAATAAAGGCGCTAATCGGGAGGCAACCCGAAAACTCTTCCCCGTTTTCATTTATTTTAGTTTTTATTGTTTTTGTTTTGATGTACCAAGTGCTTTTGGTGGATTTATGTAGGAGGATGCTTTGGGAGTACGTATTGTGAGCAAAAACAGAGCAAAACAGGTAAAAACAGGCTTTGGGAGGTAGCCCCTGCAGGAGCCGCTGGTAGCGGGCTGGCAGCTGCTCTGTAGCCGCTACCAGCGGCTCTCCAAGCAGCCAAAAAATCCCAAAGTTCTGCCCCAGCCGCTGGCAGCGGGTCTGGTGCCGCTGCCAGCGGGTGTCCTTCAGAAAAAAAAAAGAAAAAAAAAAGAAAAAAAAAATAAAATTTTTGCAGCAGCCGCTGCCAGCGGGTCTTCCAGGAACATTCACCCTAAATTCCTTCTTAAGCCGCTGGCAGCGGGCCCCAAGCCGCTACCAGCGGCATTCCCTGCATACCTGAATTTTTGCCCTTTTAAACCCCTTTTTCTTCAATCCTACAATCCAATTCATTCTAGTCTTTATCCAAAACCCCAATTAATCACTTCCCTCTATCCCTTAGCAAGTATTCTTTATCCAAAACAACCCATTTGCCCCATTTTCAATCCAAAATTCAGAAATTTAAAAACCCCTCGTCTAACCTCTTTTCCCTCAATTTCAAGTCCAATTAAACCTTAACATTGTTTCAATTTCTAAATTCTAAACTTGAAATTTGAGGAATTGTGTGAACCTTGGTGTTTGGAGGTTTGGTGGGTTGCTCATTGTATTTTGAAAGAGGAGGTGAGATTTGTGCAATTCGTTCTTGTGCAATGGGAAGACATAACAAGTGAAGGCAACCTCTTCACCTACAAGGGTTGCAAGGGGGTAGACAACAAGGGGATACTTCAAGGGAGGGTGTATCACCCTCTTTTCCCCAAGCAAATGACTTCATGGGCATTCGTCTAACTACGAAAGAAAAGACTACATGGGTTCAACTTCAACAGCCCAAAAGAATGGTGCAATGCACAAAAATCGTCGATTTGGAGGCATTGCAAGTGGTTGGTTTGGAGGAAGTGATGGAGCACGAGCGCACCTACTTATGTGAGGTATAGATGAATTCCTTTCCACTTTGACTAAGGGATGTCAAGAATTTCTTTCAATTTTAACAATAAGAACTATGTCATGCCTTATGCGGTAATTAGAAATGCGTTTGGTTGGAATAATCTTCCCATGGGCAACACTTGGGGTCCCCATAGTTCATTTTTCTTCTCGAGAGTTTTGAAATCCTTGATAATGCCGAATCTTCCAACTTCGGGAATCCTTCCCATTAAGGTGGTACTTATTTCTTCCCTTTCCCTTACTTTTGTTTTTATTGTTGTTGTTCTTGCATTGAGGACAATGTCTCATTCAAGTAGGGGGGGGGGGAAGCAATTCTTGCATATTTTTGAAATTTGTATAGTTATCCTAATTTAATGGTTTTGTATAGCTATTTCAATTATGTTTCAATGAAAAAAAAAAGAAAAAAAAAAACAAAGAAGAAAAATTGAAAAAAAAAGAGAAAAGAAAAAGAAAAAGAAGCCCTCTAAGTCGAAAACCTGAAAAGGCGGCTTAGGCAAAAATGGGGGCCTGGTTAGGTTGAAAACCCGAAAGGGCGACCTAAGCAAAAAAGTGGCTAATGAGCGGGTGAGGTAGTGAGATTTGGAAAAAGATGAGAGGCTAGGATGAAACCCAGAAAGGGCTCCTAGGCAAAATGAGAGAAAAAAGAGAGAAATGTTCATGAATTTGATTCTTCAAGGAAATTTCGCATCTATTTGCCGGAGTCGGTGTCATAAGGGGAGGAGATATAAGGAGGTGTCGGGGTAGGTTTCATCTTGGTGATTTTGGGAGATAGTTGAGATTTTGGGGGAATTTGTTGATCATCTTAGGAATTTGAGAGCATGAGTTGTTTGTTTTCACTCTTGAATGTGGAAGTGTTTTTATGAGATTTTTGGTTAAGTTGAGTTTTTGTTTGCCCAATTTTATCAAAAGTTTCATTTCTTTAGGCAGTTGAGAATATTCATACTCATGGCTATGCGTTTATCGTTCCAAGTTGATTTTGGGGATGAATTGATAAATAAGAAAAAAGGGAGATTCAAAGTGTGAAGTATGGGGGAGTGTGATTGTGATTGGTTGATAAGTACTAGGATGTTTTGTTGAGTTTGAGTGCGTAGAGCTAGTTTGATTCCACCATCTTCTGTTTTGAACCTTAGTGAGGAGGATGTGTTTTATTCTCTAAGTTTACTCGAGGGCGAGTAAGGGTTCAAGCATGGGGGAATTTGATAAGCCTTCTTATCATGGGTTGAGAGAAGCATTTTAGGGTGTGTTTTGATGCTTTATATGTACTTTTGTTAGCATTTTGTGAGTTTTGGGCAGTGATCTCACTTATGTGCAAAAGGCGGGATTTATGAGTATAAGTGAGTGAGTGAGCTCGGGAACCAATGAAGAGTTATGTAAGAAGGATGGACCTTGGCTCGTGATTTGAGAGTTGTGATGGAGCATGGAAGAGCAAGGAAGAAAGCTTGAGGAAAAGGTGAAGCAAAGCAAAAAGAAGAAGCAAGGAAATAAGGCAAAAACAGCAGGAACCGCTGCCAGGGCCGCTGGCAGCTGGCTAGAGCCGCTGGCAGCTGGCCAGAGCCGCTGGCAGCGGGTATACCAGAGTGAGGGGCTGCCAGAGCAGCTGCCAGCGGGTCCAGAGCAGCTGGCAGCGGCTCTGGCAGAAATTCGGGCTGTTTTGGTTAATTTTCAGCAATTTGGCTTTGTTTTGGCTCGTGTTTTGGATATTATTTTATTATTATTATTTTGTTATGTTATTAAAATATAGAAACATATAAATAGCTTAGCTTTAACTAAGTTTTAAGTTAGAAAAGGAGAATTAAGTTTTGAGAAAAAAAAGCTTTCTAGGGTTTTCTTGGAATTTTCAGAATTCTTTGTTTTGGAATTAGAATCCATGGAAGCTTAATCTTCCGGATTCTTGGTTAAAGATTGAAGCTTTTAGCTACGAATTGTGAGATCTTTCTTCTCTTAATATCTATTGAATATATATTGTTCCTTGAATTAATTTCATGATTTGCTTTAATCAATTGCTAGGTTAGAATTATTGGATTCGCTTGCATCTAATTAATCTTTCCAAAGTAGCAACTTTAGGTTATTGATGCATGCTTTTGGTTGATAACTTGAAGAGGGAATAATATTATTGAAGAAATTAGACCGCTTGTGTTAATTTATTCAATCCTTGTTGATTTCTCCGTTTATTTTCTTCTTGTGGATAATTTAGAGCGCTTGTCTTGAATTGTGCATTGGAAAGGGTTAGAAAGGAGCGCTTTGCTATTTCTAACTATTTATGAGAATTTAGAATCTAGGAATTCTACAACAAGGTGTTCAATAGAGCTTGATTGAGGAGACTTCTATGATCAATTTGTATATTCATTAGTGGATTTCGCATAACCAATACCGTTCTTCTCATTGATTACCTATTCATTACGTTCGTTGTTCTTACTTAGTTCATTTATCATCATTGCTCGTGAAAACCCCCCTCGTTACTTAGGTTACTACCGTCCTAGAGTATTTCCACTTAGGTTTCCAGTTATTAGTCCCTTTTTCCCTGTGGATTCAAACTCGACTTCCCTAACTACGTTTATTTGCAGTTAGCTTAGTTGTGATATTTTTGGTTGCATACGACTGAGGCACACCAGGCGTCCAAAGGAAAAGAAACAAGAAAAAAAGAGTCGCCAAAAAGTTTTAGGAACTTGTATACCGTTCACAAGGTGAAGGTTACACCCCTTAACAATCCAGGAGATCGTTAACTCCAATAGATCTAGAACCATAACTAGTGTTCGGGGATAAGGGTACGAATCCAATCTAAAAGAGAGAGGAGTCGCCCTATAAAATAGGCCTCTACTTTATTCTACTCGTATTCACATGCGCTTTCGGACTAACATGCAATCAATAGGTTTATCCTAAACTTGTTTAATCTATGTTGGTTGAATATTAATGCACAAATAAAACTATTATTGGCGATCACTTGAATTATAATCATATAAGGCTTAAAAAAGATTATTAATTATCTTATTAAGCGTGATTACAAGTACAAATTCCCTTTAAACATGCATAAAAGGCGTGATCAAGCAATAACAATAATAACAATCATCAAGAACTATAATAACAATTATAATCATAATTAAAATAATCATGTTAAAGCATAATACTACTAGCGAGATCCTAGACATGATACTAACAAGATTAATAACAAACCCAAGCATGTCACTAAACATCAAAGATCAAAGCTTTAGCGCTAACATGATAGTAACATGATATTAGGAAAGAAAATAGAAAGCATCTTAGAAATCATAATTGATATTAAAAACTTAATTAACCCTAAAAGTGATACGAGGAAGGAATAAAACATCATAACATGATACTAGGAATTTAAATAACAATCTAAACATGATTTTGTATCAAAAGATCAATAAAACAATTAAAGTACTTACTTCGATGTCTCGTACCCGTTTCTAATAACAAAATACACACGTTAGTAACTTCAAGGAAAACAATAAAATTAAAGATTAAATTAAATAATTGAAATAGTGAGTTAAAAAGATTAGTCAGGATTTGGGACCAAACCCTCAGAAGGTATCAACCTTTCGCGTCTAGGGCGAAGGCAACTTTGAACTTGGCTAGGAGTGTCTAGATCTTGTGAACACAGAATTATGTTTGTAAAAGAGTTGGTTTATAAAGAGAGAGAGAGAGAGAATCAAGAAATTCTTCATGAGAGTTGATGATGAAAACAGAGGTCCAAAGACCCTATTTATAAGAAAATAGTCTTGAAAGCGATAGAAAAGAGTTAGAATTCGTATCGAAATAAAACTCATCCTGTCCTCAACGACAGAGATGGTCGCAAGGTGACGAGGTGCATTGCCAGGCATTGCACTGCAGCA